CCACCTCCTCCAGAGAAAGACAAGTCCACCCTGACCTCTTCCTGTGCCGGGCTCCTCTGCCTACTTCGACTCTGCCACACCCCCTCTCCCCACAGCCCCCAGCAGGGCCCCATAGCCAGCTTCCAGCCCGACCTCAGGACATGGCTAGTGAGTAGATGAACCCCAGCCAGAGTGGCATTTCCAGGGACCTGGGTGGCAGGAGTGGCTTCAGAGAGCACTGACCAGATGGCACGTGGCGCTCTCATGGATACCTAGGCCCCCAGGGCCCAGGCAGGCAAGAGCCCTGGGCCGCCACAATACACATGCTGGGCTCCTCTCCCAGCACAGGCCAGGCCCGGGCGTGGGCTGTTCCCAGAGCTCAAGATCTGGCTGTCACGAGTGTGCTGTCACTGCTGCAGGCACAGATGGAGCCGAGGCCAGTGGTCACTCGGCCACAGGCTTTGTGAGCTCCTGGCAGGAGACGATCTGAGGAGATGTCCGGGAGGCATGTGTGCCCAAGTGGGAGGGAGGAGGTAAAGGTAGACCTGCACTAGATGCCGGACGACACCTTTGCTGCGGCCACAAAGGTGGATTGATGTGGAGTCATCGGCTGTGAAGGTTTGGATGCAATTTATCCCCAGGGGTTCGTGTGCTGGAGGCTTGGTGTCCAGTGTGGCAATGTGGGAAGTGGCTGGACCTTTAAAAGGTGGAACCTAGTGGGAGGTCAATGGCATGCTGCCCTCAGGTGGAACTGAGATGGTCCTTAGGGGACCTTGCGTTAGTCTTCTAAAGGGTGAACTTGTGGGAAAGCCTGACCTGACCCTGAATCTCTCTTCTGCCATGATGCCATCTGCTCTTCGGCCCTCAGTAGAGGCCAAGCAATGGCCTGACCTTGGACTTTCAGCCTGTGAAAGTGAATTTAAGACTTTTTTATAGTTACCCAGCCTTAGGTATTTGGTATAGTATTGAAAAGTGGACAAACATTCCATCAAACTAACCTATGGCCCGTTCTCCAGGCCCAGTGATGAGCACCACCCGGAAGTAAAAGCTGATGGGTACGTGGACAACCTCGCAGAGGCCGTGGACCTACTGCTGCAGCATGTGGACAAATGACACGCCTTTGGGGAGGCCCAGCCTCTTCCACCACTGCCCCTGAACCTCATGCCTGGCCCAGGCAGGTGAGGGCAGTTCTGGGCTGCCTTCACCTGGGCCAGAACCATCTAGGCCCCTTCCCAGCCCTGCTGGGCAAAGGTTTGTCCCCCAGTGAGGTCCAGGAGGTGGCTCAGATCAGCAGGCCTCCAGAGAATGAAAATTCTGTGGGCATGCTGGAGCACCTCTGGGAGTGACCCGAGTCCTCACCTGCACTTGACTGACAGGATGCAGAGGGGAGTGACCCACTGCCTCTTCATCACACTGTGTGTCTGGCTGAAGAGCCTGGAGAGGACCCAGGGCCACCTGTACACACATCGTGCAGCCCAGAGCTAAGCCAGCCTCCCCTGCTCAGTGACACCACCCTCTGTGAGCAGCTGATGAGCACTCTCCCTGCCCAGAAATAATGCCAACTCCTGGCTTTTCCTATCCCCAAAGTCAGCACGACAAAGGCTGGGGCAGCCCCTAAGGGTACTTCAACAATACCCTTCTCCAGAGCGAGAATCTCAACCTCTGTAATCAAGGTTGTACGCACAGAAAGTACTCTGAATCCAGAACTGGGCAGACTTGACTGTATCGTGTCCACTGAATCCAGAAGAAGCTAATGGCTCAATAAACCTGGCCTTGAACGGCAGGCTTTGACCTGGCTTTAACTGCCAGAAAGGACCCTGTGAGTTGTGGGAGAGGGGACCTGGGCAAGGTCTCAAACACTGTCCCTGTTCCTGCCGTGTGCTAGATCTGCTGAATGTTACTGGAGCAAGGGTATAAGATCACCTACCTGACCTCTTTAACAGATAAGGAAACTGAGAGAAGTCAGACCAGGTCAAACATTGGCGTTACCTTCCCCTACGAGTTCATTTTTCATTGTTTCAAGGTAAGCTAACTTTAGAAAGAAAATAGGTTTATTTAGTTCAGTTTTGGAGACACAGGCATAGCACCTGCATCAGCTAGGCTCTGATGTGGGCCTCATGGCATCTTGGCACAAGAGCACAAGTAGGAGCAAGAGGTCATATGGGGAGGCAAGAAGCCAGAGCTGGTACAAAATCCCTTCCAAGGGCACGTCCCGAACTGACCCAACAACCTCCTACTCAGCCCCATCTTTTAAAGGCCAGGCAGCTCCTGCCACCCTGGGGAAGCTAGGCCTTCAGCAGATGAACCTTTGAGGGAATTCACTTATACCACATCCAGAACACAGCACTTCACTAATGAGGACCGGCCGTCAGAAATTCATTTTTCAGACCAGGGTTGTGGGGCCTGTGTACCCCAGTTCACTCCTAACCCATTCAGCTTTCAAAATGATAGTCTGCTGAAAGCTTAGCTTAATGGCTGTTCCTCCTCAAATCAATTCCAAAGCCGCTGAGCAATCTTGTTAGGCGACTTTCCATAAAAGAAGGCAGGGCCCTTTTATGGAACCAAGCAGGCAGCGATAAAGCACTAGACCCTGAAGCCCGAGTCCCTGGCTCAGTAGCTGTGAGGCAGTGAGGGCCTTGTGGGCAGCTGGCCACCATTCAGTCAGGATTAGGAGGAAACAGTGGCTAGGTCTTTTCTTCAAGGTGAGAGGCCACCAGCCAAGCTGGTGCCACTGGCATTTTAGTGGCCGTTAACTGGAACACACACACAGGGGGCTGCTCCTTGAGCCCCCATCCATAGCTTGTTAGGAGGGCAGGAAGATGTGCAGGCCCTGTCTTTATTTTTACCTTTCTCTTTTGTTTTTTAGCTGGCCTCTCGTTAGCTCTCCTCAGCAGGCATTAGCAGCCAGGGCAGCCTCCTCTGGGCTCAAGGGCTGTTTATGTGTAGAACATAGACCCTCGCTTTGTCTTGCCAGAGAACACTCTACTCTCTGACCGCAGGAGGCTTAGGGAAGTGGACGCTATCCTGCTTCCCATTTTACAGATGAACGAGGTGCCGATGAGAAAGTGACTTGTGGACCGAGTGGAGAATCAAATTAAGGTCTGGCCCTGCATTCCTTGCCCTTTTTAGTCCCTTCTGAAAGGCTACCCCTCTCCTGGCCCTGGCTGCTGCTGACCCTGTGTTGCACCCTGTGGCAGATGGTTAGGCAGGTGGATTAGAGCAGAGGTGGTAACACAGGAGGGACTTACATACGACATGCCTCCGGTGTGCTCAAGGACTCACCTCCCATCCCAGTGTGATCATCAATAGCTCCAGCTTTCCTTCTCAGATGATAAATATATTGGACATTTTGTGTTTTTTTGTTTTTTAGTTTTGACCTTTTTCTAGATTATAGGAAGTTTAACAGAAAAATATAAAAAGAAACCAAAAGTCACTCAAGGCCTGCCCACTACCCTGATTGGCACATTTCTCGGCCTTCTTTTTAAGCACATTCTGGACAGTGCTGGTGCACACTGTGGCAGGGGCTGCCACTGATTCTGACATGGAAACCCACAAGGATTGCAATCTCTGTGTAGACAAGGAATCTGCTCAGGGGTGCCCACCACCAGGACCCCACATCAGATGTACCTGTAAGCGGGCCTGGATTAGGGACTGAGATTGTGGTGAGCCAGGCAGCTGGGCCCGACAGCAGAGATGAGGGTGGAGCTCCAGAACCTATACAGGGAGCTGACCTGGTTCCACCAAACTTCCAGGGCACAGGATGCAGCTCTGGGGAGAAGGCACCAGGGCAGGGGGCTGAGCAGCCATCGCTGTACTCGCATAAGACAGGAGCCATGTGGGGTGGAGGTAAGGGGCTCATCCAGGACTCCTCTGTGCCCTCCCCTCAGGTAGGTAACACATGGGGGCCCACTATGCTTGGCAGGAACCTCCCTTGGCATCTGCCACACCAGGCATGCATTAGATACATGAGGCAAGGAGGCAGGGCTGGGAAGACCAGGACACCGCCTGGCATCAGTGAGCTGCTGGGCCTGGCTGCTCCCGGGCTGCAGGGGAATAGGGCTCACCTCAGCCCAGTAGCCTTGCCTGTTTTCTTGAGCCAGGTGTTCATGGACCATTTTATGACACAGGATATGCTGTTGAAAACCACCTACAAGCTGCAGCACTCCAGGGCTTACTCCTAGAGGCTTCTCAGGCCCTAGCAGATGGCTGAGGCAAAAACTCCAAGGACTATTTTGGGGAACACAGCCCACAACCCACAAATAAGGCAAGAAGGCTTGCAGCAGTCAAGTAAAGGGTTAAAGATATTTAGCCGGGGATTTAGCTCAGCAGTTCAGTGGCCTGCCTTGCAAGCGCAAGGACCTGAGTTCAATCCCCAGTACCAAAAAATAAAGATATTTAGATTTAGTGCACCTCTCCACACCTGTCCCTGAGGCTGCTGACACTCCTTCCTGAGCATAGTTCCCTGGGGTACCTGGTTTGAAGGGCCGGAAATGGGACCATGTCCCCACAGCCCAAGCAGCTGAGGCTGGAGCTATGCTGGGGGCAGAGGCCCTAAACTGGCAGGCCAGCCTGTGCCACCTCCTGGGCTGTCCTGGTGGTCTCACAGCTCCAGGCCAGGTTGGTGCTTCTAGCGGCAAGACCTGAAGCGCACTGCATATAGTCCTGCCTCTCAGCAAGGCTGAAGGCTGAGCCCATGGGTCCACAGGGTGCCTCCAGCCGCTCCTGCCTCAAAAGTGACGGCACGCATCTCTTTCTGCTGGCCTAGCCCCTGAATGGTGCAAAGGGCTGGGCCCTTGCACCCCTGAATGCACACACACACACACCTGCCTGCCTCTAGGAGGCTCCCCAAAGCCACAGCCATTCCCACAGCTCCTCCCACAGCTCCTCCTGTGGAGAAGCCCATCTACTGCTCTGTGCAACAGACTCTGAGGTCTGTGTGTCTCCCAGCCGAGAGGGCAGAGGAGAGAAGGACCTGCCGGTTCACCACAGCCAACAGAAGCCACACAGCCAGACCTCAGCAGTTGAATGTTGAGCCAGGAAGCTTTATTTACACAGTAAAAGTAACAAGCAAATTCCTGAGACTAGAGCAGCTCTAGTGCAAGACAGTCATGGCCTGCGTGGGAGGGCAGGGTGTGGAGGGAAACAGGAGGACAGATGCAGTGCCTCTGTGTGCAGTCTGCTTTGCCCTAGCAAGGACATGGCCCAGGACCACCCGGCTACCACGATTCCTGAAGCCCTGCAACATGACGGCACATGGGTGGGAGAAATACATGGGCCCTAGTGCGGTCTGCGTGCTATCTGTCCCCCAAGCCCCGACATCACCCCCACGCACTGACAACTCAACTCATTTGCCAACAAAACTATGCTAGAAGGTCAGACTATCCTACCTAGGCTACGAGAGCTCCACTTTAGGCTGCGACTTGTTAAAACCACCTTTGTCGTCTCTAAGAAGAATGGTCTCCTCTGGCACCAGCGGGAGGGGTTTGATCAGCAGTGTGTGGGCCTCCGTGGGCAGAGTGCTTAGGCAGGGCTCCCGGAGCCCGGTGTTCAGCTGACCACCCCCATGTCCACAGGACCTAGGGGTGTGCTTGCTCAGGCAGGCAGTGCCCTAAATGCCTTGGCAGTTTCACAGCATCACACTCATCTGCACTAGGAGCCCCATCTGGAAATGGGTTTTCATTTTTATGTGGCCTTTTCCTTTTCTTAGATTTTTCATTCAGCGTACAAATTAAAAAACTTTCCTGATACAAAAGTTTCATTGAAAGGTAAGGCTTTCTGAGAATGAAAATCCCTATGTATGATAGGAACAAGCTCCCTGGGGCCTGGATGTGAGTCTGCTCGGGCTCTGGGCCAGGCTCTGGCCTCCACAGCCCATGAATAAGGCAAGAAAGTTTGCAGTAAAGTAAAGGTTTAAGACGCAGCCCTGACACAGGCCTGGGCACCTAGGCAGACTTGTCAGTCCAGCAGCTTCTGGAGTGAATGGGGTTACCATGTGTCAGGAAACCCTTCTTCCTACTTTATTCTCATCCTTCCAGGCCTCCAGGCAGGCAGCTGGCCTGGCTCAGCCTACTCTCCAAGGCCTACACTTTTCTCAGCCTCCATCCAGGGCAGAACTCATGTGTGGCCTAAAAAAGCAAGGCTCCTATTGCTGCCACCAGCTGAGGCCACCATGCGGGTGAGGGTGAGCCCACCTGCCCACTGCCCATGGGAAAACCATGAAGGGACCAGAGGGAGCCTTCTGGGTGCTCTTCCTGCCCAACAGCACCAAGAGAGTCCTCGGGCGAGCAGGGTGTAGTACAGAACAGTGTGGCTGCGGAAAAGTCAGCAGGACACCTCCTACATGGGGCCCGCTTTGGCCAATCAAAAGAGAAACACAGTGAACTGGAGGTCATTTCTTTGTATAACCAGAAAGGACACTACCATCTTATCCCTCAATTGCTGCTGCCGTGTGCCTGGGCTAGGAGCTTTGGTGGGGTGGGAACAGTTAAGATGGGCTTGTGAGGCTGGAAAGGGCCAAACCCTCTGTGGGCCTGGAGCATTTCTGTCCTTAATACCCTGGGGCTGGGCTTCCTAGACCCTGGGACTGACTGGGGAGGTGAGGAGGACAAGGCTGTGACTCAGTGAGCTCCCCTCACTACAGCTGTGTGACACACCTGCCAGCAGGTGCCTCCTACCCTGGCCCTAAGGAGAGGAAGCTGGTGGCTGCTCCATGCCTTGGCCTTAGCTGGCCCTGCAGAGGGGACCAGGTGGAATCCTACCTCTGCCTTCCATAGGAAGGTCTGCGCTCCCACTGTCACCACTCTCGGTATGGCTACACCAGGTACCAGAAACCCCATCCTGGTTTTCTGGGAAGAAGGCACTGGCATGTGCTCACCACATCCTCTCTGCTACCCTCCTCCTCCTCCTCCTCCTCCTCCACACTTGTTCTGAGAAGACAGGGCCTCCACCATTAGCAGGCAGGGATGAGGCACCATGCCTCTGTCCACCCAGAGCTGCCTGCACTCTGCTTTGGCTTCTCAGACCTCTGACAGGAGCCACAGCAAACTGAGGTGAGCTGGGTCTCCACCACAGGATGTGCTGGGCATCCTCATTATGTTGGCCTCTCCCGGGGAGATGGGCTTCCTGCAAACACCTTATAGCTGAGTTGAAAGAAACATCACCTACAAATCAAAACCACAGCCACTACCCCTTTGATGTAAAAAGTAAAGGTTTAGACAGTTTTCCAACCAAGGTCTTTCTGAAGAAAAGTGATACACATCTGGACTTAAACTGTGAGGCATCCACTGGTCTGTGGAAGGGAAGCAAAAGCAAAGTGACTGTCCTATCACAGGTCAGCAAACACAGAATACACCAGAGATTTTTAGCCTTATGGGAAAATGAGCCACTCACTCGAAAGCCAGCCCACTTGCTATCGTCTGTAGAAAATGCCAAGTTGCTAAAAGCCAGATTCCCAGAGCGTGGAGGACTGTGACGTATGTGAGAGGTGGACTGGGGCTCCTAAGCACATATCCCGAGGGATGGGCTGTGCCAGGGGAGAGGAGCCGGGAAGGGTGTAGGTGCGAGTCAGGCCATGCTGGTGCTGGGGCTACCTTGGGAAGGCAGCTCCTAGGACTGGCTCCCTCAGCAGACGGGACTGCAACTCTTGCAGGGGTCAGTGCACTTTGACTAAAGCTTGGGTGCCTGTGAACACTGGAGAATGTGCTGGGGACACTGCAGGGGGCTTGAAGGCCCTCCCTGGCCCCCAAGAACAGACCCAGACATCCTTCACCACTGAAACCTGCACAGGGTCTGGATTTGTGCACCTGCTCGTGTTCCTGTCTCCTGAGGGCACTTTTAAGAAGTCACCCTCTTGTCACAACACCTCACTCACTCGAGTCCACCAAGTTCATGACTCAGGGACTGGGGAGCTGTGAATATATGGCTGCCATCACCAAGCAGCCAAGGCAGCCCCTGAAGGGGCAGAGCGCGGAGCAGGCACTCCATGACCCTGGAGAGGGAAGAGGATCTGCCTTTCAGCCAACAGATCCACCAAATTTCTACCCAATGTGGATGGCCTCTAACAAGCACCGAGTCTTCCCTGGCATCTGGAGTCTAGACCTAGGCTTACCCTCAGGGGCACCAGCGCCTCCACGTGGGATTAAGGCCAAACGGTTCTGGTGTTACTACAGGAGTGTCCCCTGAACCTTCCTCAGAGCAGGGAGACCTGGGAAAGAAGGCACAGAATAAAATGAGTGAGAAACTGGGGCCGACTCCCAGAGTGAACCTGAGCGAGGCCAAGCAGAGCTCAGACATGGCCCAACGGACCTGGCCCCAGCCCTGAGCCTCCCCGCATCCCCACCTGGGGGGTCCAGTGTGGGCCTAGCCCTGCCGGGAATAACTGCCCAACATCCCACAAGGAACAAGGCAAAAAGAAAACCAAAAAGCTGCTGTGTGGGCTACAGTAGTTCCATGGACCTGCTGGCTGATGTGCTTGACGGCTGGTGAGAGACCGACGTCCCACTGTGGGGCACGGCCAGGCAAGCCTTCACAGAGCCAGAGAGCTCTTCCCTGGGACCTCCCAGGAAGGGGCTGGGTTCCCCTACCAGTGTCCACAGAGGGCCCAGAGGGAAGTACTCCCACCCTGGGCCTGGGCACCAGCCCCTCAGTTATTCTCTATCTGCTCAATGTCCAACTCGCCATCCAGAGAGCAGAAGCCGTTCCCAGGGGCCCCGCAGTCCCTCCAGGGTGGGGCCAGCTCCCGCTTTCTGCCACAATCCTCGTCCAGGGTGCAGCCATCTGATTCCTCACAGGACAGGTCCTCCTGGCAGGTGAGGCGGTCGTCAAAGGAAGGGGGAAAAGGCTCAGGGACTGGGGTCCCAGCAGGGGTCCTGCCCCCCGGGCTGGAGGCTGAAAGCAAGGTGGCCCAGGACCGGGTGCTGCTGGTGTGGACAGCGAAGGAGCTCTGGGGGCTGTAGTCCTCCATCCCCGTGCTCAGGCAGCTGAGGCTGCTGAAGGTCTGACAGTTCTGTGGAAGGGCAGACACAGGTTACCAAAAGGGCGACACTCCCTGCTGAAACCATGGGACCGTGCACCCCACAAAGCCAAGCCAAAGCCTTGCTGGTACTTGGTCTGCCAGATTGCACTCATAAACACTGCTGGCCAGTGAACGCTCTGTGCTAGTAAAGAAATGCAAAATTCAGCTACTCACCTACTTAACTGTCTAAGAGCCAGAAGGTAAATACCGAGCTTGGGAGGCTGCAATGGAAGAGACCCACAATACTGTCCGTATGCCTCTCACAAAGACGACCTTCAATGCAGCAACACCGCTACAGTGTGCCTCCATATTTGGGACTGGTTCAGCCTTTGCATATAACCAGCCCATGCACAGTCTCACATCCTTCAAATCATCTCTGGGTTACTTACTATACCTATGGCAATGTAAATGCTATGGAAATGGCTGTTATACTATAGTATTGAGGGAACAGTGACAAGAAAAAGAAGTTTACAGTTCAGTATTAATTTTTTTTTTCAATTCAAGATTGGCTGAATTTAAGGATAGAGAACTCAAGCAAGCCCATCCAAATGTACTATAATTTTTATTTGAAGAGGGCCATTTAAGATATGTGCAAAAACTCAGCAACATGAATACGTGAGGGGTGCTTACATATGTTAAACACATGCTCTACCACTGAGCTACACCCCTAAAGCTTACATAAATATTTCTAGTCACTGTCAGGCATTCTTAAAACAGAAAGAGTAACAAGTCCCCTGCAAGGATGCTGAAATACAGTATGTAGTTTTAGACATGTCTATACAGCCATTGCACAAAACAGGGCAGCGGTGTCCCTGTGAGAAGGGGCCTGAGTTTAAGGGAAACATCCCCAGGCCATACTGCTGTATGGCCACAGGGCCTACCCCACCCACTTCCCATGACTGGCCAGAGTGAGACAGGCTGGGTTTATACGTGTGTTCCTGTGTGTGCAATGTCCAAGGCCTGGTGCATGTCAGAACTATCCAGGGAGGCAGCTCTCTGAATTCTAGGCCCTTTCTGGAGACAGAGATGCCGAGCCTCTAAGGGCTATGGCTCAGGCCTTCCACAGACACTATGTGGGAGGGGGGATCCCCACTGACACGCCAGAGGAGCGCCAGGATCCAAGTTGTCTCTGGTGCTTGCCAGCTGGGGACCTTGGTGGCCTCATGTGAAAGAGGCCATGACTGGAGGCCCCAGAGAGGGAGCATGGCTGTACAAGAGCTTCCCTGCTTACCAACAATGCCCTGTGTGCAGCAGCAGCTGCCGGTTGGATACAGCTCCAAGTCTGTGCAGGTCAGTCCTGCTTGGAGCCACTCACCAGAGGGTGCAGACCTGACCTGGTGCACAGGTGGGTGCGGCTACATCACAGCTTTCAAGGCAGACGAATTTGGGCCCGCTTCTCCCCAGAGACATGCTTGGTGTAGCAGCAGACATGACAAAGCTATGGCAGTGGGGGAGCTCGTGGCCCAGGCCTAGCCCCAGACATCATGATGAGGAAGAGCGGTACACAGAGGCAAGGAGAGGAACTACAAGCTTTGTTTTCTCTGCACCCGCCGTCTTTCATGCTACCTGCTTGCCAATTCTGTGATCACAGATCTGTCCCAAGGGCCCTGATCCTTTCAAAGGCTGTAGTGTGCATGTTGCTTTGAAATAAAGATGACCGCTGGCTGTCATGGCAAATGAGCTGCTGGAATAGGCTTCCTCTCTGGAGGAAGGTGGCTGTACCTGCCAGGGTCACACTCACTGTTCCTGAACACTCCACAGAGGGAGCTCCTCCGATGGGTTTGCTGTTCTTGGGACTGCATGAGAAAGGGGAAGGTTGCAGTGCTGGGGGACTGAGCACCAGGATCTAGGAGAGAGGGGCTAGGCCACCCAGAGATGGTGGCTCAGGCCCCAAAGCCACCTGTAGGTCCCACCCTGGGCTGTGCTGGGACTCGATGCACCCCGTGTACACAAAGCACATTCTTTCCCCCACCACAGCAACACTCCCGGGTCAGCAGTTCCCAAAGGCAAACCTGACACCTGGCAAGGCACAGGCCCTGGATGCCTGGGAAGGGTCTCTGTGGCCCCTTCTGTCCCTCGGCCACTCTCTTGAGCAGCCTATGCAGAACAGAGGGAAAGGGGGAGGAGGGACCAGCCCAAGGGGTGTCCCTGGCCCAGGCTGCCCGAATAGAGTCAGGACTCATGAGCCCAAGGAGCCAGACCTGCCCTTTCCCATCCTGGCTGTCTGTTCTCTGCCTGCACAGGTGCGTAAGGATAAATAATGCCCGTGTCTCGAGTAACACACTGACTAGCTTCTGGGTGGTGACAGGCACTGCTGCCAAGAGTCCTTGGGTATGGCCATGTCTGTTTAGTGCCCTTGTTCTCCGTGAGATAGAAACAAGGAAAGGGGAGCTAGGGTTAGCCCTGAACAGAAAGCACTCTGTGCTCAGTGCTTGAGGCCATGCTCACCTTGGCATTCCTGCTGGAGTCATCTATCCTGCCTGATCCTGCCTGGAAAATGATGTAAGGCACAGTGGGTAGGTCCTGACTTATGGTCAATGGGATGGCATAGGAGGTCTGAATATGTGTGTCCCCTCAAATTCATATGTTGATGCTTAATCCTCAATGCAACAGTATTAAGGGTGGGCCTTTGGGTGGGGATTAGCTCATGAGGGTGGGGCCTGCATGAATTGGACCTGGCCAGGAGCACCCCAAGGCCACCCTGGCCCCAACTGTCTGGAATAATTGGGTCCTTTTTTGCTTTGTAGCAAGGCAAGAAGCTACAAGATTTAGGTGGTGAATTCGGTCAAAAGCAAATCACAGGGTGCTGCTCTGCACTCCCCCCACACCCAATACAGCCCTCAAAGGCACCTGTTTCTTGGCTATGAATCCAGGTGTCACCTTGAAAACTCTGTTGACTCAAAACTCAGCTATTTCAGCCACAGCTAAAACCAGGCACCATCACTGAATGCCCCAGCTGGTGGTACATCCCACCTGCCAGGGAGGAATGTGGCTGCCACAATAGGGTAGATGTAGCTCTACCTAGAGCTCCTGGCCAGGTAAGCCTACTCTGCAGACACCGAGTGAATTCACACCCAGGCCAGCAGCTGCTTGGGCCACCACACCCTCAGGCAGAGTCCCACCCAGCCTCTCCTAGCAGCTGAGACAGTTCCCACAAAGAGCACTGCATGGGCCTGTTGGAGGCCTGGAGGCCTGTGTGCCCTCAAAAACGTCCAGGAACAGCGAAGTTCAAAGCATCGCATGAATACATCATTCCAAGGTGAAACTGCTGCTCTAGAACATTTGCCAACTTCTGTTCCCCTGAGCCCCAGCCCTGGCCCAGGGATGGGCTGCCTACTCAGGTAGAGACATGCCCGGGTAACAAACTGTCCATGTGGCCTCAGGATAGTGGACAGAGGCAATGATCCCAATCCTAGAGTCTGTAGGAGGCAGATGACAGCAGCCCGCTGCAGGGGGTGACTGAAGATTGAAGCCCTTGTATATCAAGGTTTTCCCACCAGAGCCGCTCAGCTCATCAGCCAGGGCAGAGGCCACAGCCGCTCCCTCGATGCCCACCCCAACAAGCTGTCCCACGGCTTCCCAGCCAGAAGCAGTGGTCCCTCTTCTGCAGAGCCTTTCTGTGTAGGTATCTACTTCAATACCTTCCTGGGTGGCTGGGCTACAGGCACAGAGACAAAGGCGCCTGGTCTTTGCTTTCCAGGTACAAGCTGAAAGCTGAACCCCTCACCTCCAAACATATTAGGTCAGGAGACACTCAGCCCACCTTTGCTTCCCATACACGGCCACGGCCCTGCATGGCCTCACCTGCTCCCTCCCTTCTGCTGGTTGGTGCTACTGTTCCCTGGGCGGCAGAGTGAGGCTGTAGACAAGACTCCAGCAAGATCCCCACAGCTACTAAACAGAATGGGTCACCAACAGTGGCCCAGGGATGAGGCCTGTGTGGAGCAGGGGGAAACTGCAGGGTTCACCCAAGAAATACTGCTTGGGTGCCAAGTGGTCCCCAAATCCAGGAGTCCTGTCCCCACACACAGAAGCAGCTGTCCGAGAACAAGGACAGGCCAGCAGAGATGTGTCTGAGAGCAGATGATACAACTCCCCTGGGTACTGGTTTCTCCTAACAGAGTTCTTCTCATTCCCTGAACACATGGCCTTGAGAAGAGGGTGAGGAATATGGTCTCTGGAGTCCAAGGGACGGCTCCTCCAGACTCACTTTCTGTTTCCTGGAGAAACAGGAAGTATTGCTTACTGGGCTGCTTATGGAATATAGGAACAAAGAGCATAAACTGGGTACTAGTGGCTCCCCGAAAACCCCACTCTGTTGGCTTCTGACAGCTCACAGTTGCCCCTTCCAGACCTGCTCTGGGCTGGAAAGCCTGGGAGGTCAAGCTTCACTATGGGCTGGATCAGGCCAGCCACACTCCCCAGGCACCAGACCAAGGCCCAACTTCTGTTGCACCCACCTCCGTGTCCCGTAGTGTTCCCCGTCCGCCCCATGAGTTCCTCTTAGGAGTTTCCCTCCATCAACCATTGGCCAACAACTCCCAGTTCCAGCTTTGTTCCTGAGGACCCGACAGAAGACATCAGGCAAGGCATTCTGTGCTAACATGGGGTACATTACACCTGCTCGTCAGAGCTACCGTTCAGGAGTCCTGCCTCGTGTCTCTCGGGAGTCACGGTTGCTGGGGACACTGCACCTTGAGAAACTGGTGCCGTAAACACAGGGCCCACATGAGACTTCCTCTCAGCACATGACTGACAGGCTATCTCCCCAGGGGTATGTGTTCTTCCCTTTCAAACAAGTCCCCACTCCTTCTGTGGCCACTGGTGTTCAAGGCTGGCATATGTGCTTCTCTTCAATGCCACCTCCCTAGTCCAATTGTATGGACTTCTTTGTCTCGTGGGCTTTAGAGATCCACCTCAAATCACTGTAGAAACCCAGACATGAAATCAGCCCACAAGAAAGGGTAGTCAGCCTGGCCTTAGGCTCTGCC